TTCCCTTCTCCTAATTTTTAAAACAAAAAATCACAGGTTCTTTTATTATTATTTTTTTCCCAATGCAACAGAAAACCACTGGTGAAAATTTTGAAATATCAATGTTTTCAGGTTGTCTTTTTTTAAAGGGAATTTCCATTTTAAATAATTAGATCACTTAATGGGCACACTATGTTTTTTTTTCCCCCCCGGACAACAGCTGCAGAGCAGAGGCAGAATTTTATGTTAAAGTAACTTGATAATTCAGAAATGAAATGAAATTGTGGAGTGTAAGCCCCCTTTTCCAGAAAACATTTGAGCTGGAATGTAGGAAGGATGTGCATATATGTGTAATGCTATAAGCAATATGATGGTTATTATATATAGCACTCAAGACATCTACAAGTGATTATATATCACTTTTGTTGCTATAATTTGAAGAGGAAAATATATTTAGTTCTCTAACTGCCGAATTCTTTTTAAAATGTATTTATTTCATCAGTGGGAATTAGATGAAAGAGAATGAATATGAAAAGGAGTTGAATGCAGAGCAGCTCTGCATTCCTTAGGTTTCAAGGGTCCTTACAGCTCTTGAGTGAAATTATTTGGTGAAATTGGGTCTGGACTGAAATAGCATTTGTTATCGCCTTGTTCATTTGTTATGTGTAATACCACTTCTAGAAATTAAAGGCAAGGCACTGAAGGGACAGACAAGAAGAAAAAATATGATTAAGCAATTTTAAATTGCCAATCTACCATGCCTCCATGTGCATGTCTATGCCTTAGTCAATAAAGAGGGATAGAGATATATGCTTGTCTTCGTATCATCTAGAAACATTTCTTATAGTTCCTGTCAATAATCCTTCACACTTCCAAAATCTGACAAGTTTGGCAATAGGAAGAAAATGAAGGAAATGCAGATGAAAGAGCTTCCATCATTTTGAAAATTGCTTCATAAAAATTGAAGTGTCCCCTCTGGGGTTCCCTGTGAGGGATCTTTTACAGTTATCTAAAGCAAATGTAGTTTGATCCCAGTAAAATTCTATTCTAATTTTTGCTCTTACTTTCAATATCCTAACTTTTCCCAGTTTGTGTCTTACTGATTATTTTTTGAAAATATGTAAAATATGTGATGCCTTCTTAAGGAAAAGAAATCCTCTAATACCCCCCCTTTTTTTACCTCTATTTATCTGTGTTTGTTTCATAAATCTTGGAGAATCAAGTGTTGATCATTTTGGAAGTCTTGTGGCATGTTCCAATTTGGAGTGATTGAACTGTTTTTGCAATTTAATGGGGAAAAGGAAACATTTTAAACATTGGGTTATACCAATCTCCTTACTCTGTAATTCTCAGTTTTCTTGTGTTAGGGGACAAGTATCAATAAAATCTCATCTTACCAGATTACACCAGTATTGTCCTAAACACTGGCATTTCCCTTTATTTTTGGCTTTTAAAATCAGGAAATTTTCTTGGATTTCCATACTTCTCTTTTTACTTGCCTCTGATTTACCACACTGGTTTGTTCTCTTTCACAGCAGCATGATCACTGCTTCTCTGGTCACTTTCAGTGGAGGTAGCTGGAAGGTTAGGATCTGGAGGAAACATAACAAAAAAGGGAGAGAAAAAACAAAACAAAAACAAAACCTTCATTTGGCCAAATCTGGCTCCTAATACATTTAACCAGTTCCAGAATTAGAAAGCCTTTCTGTACATTTTCTTCTATTTTGCTCTCTTTTTTTCCTCACATAATGAAATTAAAACTTTTGGAGCCCACAGTTGACATTTTTCAGAAAATTGAGTTATCAAGGCAGTAATTATTTCACGGGGAGATAAAACTCTCATAGCCCTAACTGTCAAATAGGGCCCTTTTCAGATTTTAATTACAAAATAAAATTAGTCTGCTCTTCCTCAGAATGGTTTGTGAGTGGTTAAACAGAGCTTTCCCCCCCAATACTGGTGGTCGTCGTCAAACTCTGCTAATTAGCAATGCTGAGAAATTCCAGTTAACAAGGACATTCTCCGGGACTCTGCAGGTTCCCTGCCGTTTGCCTTCATTTCCATAAGAAGATTAAGAGAGGAGGGGAACACACTCAAATGCAGATGCAGAAAAGAAGCGTTTTTTTTTAACAAGCATCATAATAGTAAGATGCTTGGCTAGTTCTCACCTAATTACTGCAAGTTAAACCTCTATTTGCCACTAAGAAGAAAAAATAAGTCTACAGTCCCCTATCCACAAAACTGTTAGTTGGCTTCAGATATAATACTTGAGGAGGGATGAGGAGGCGTTCAGGAGAAAAATATCAATGCAAAAGATTTTTTTAAATAAAATTGAGCTACATTTAATCAGTTAAGGATTTTGGGCTGGGGCCTATAGTAGAACAAAATCAACTCTGAATAGCCCAGGATTCAGGCATTTTTATTCTTAATTTCTAGTCTTGCTCTAAAGTGTGCCGCTTTTCGCTGCCCACTCTTTTTAGATTAAGCACTTTCCATTTTCATAAATTGTGCCAGTGGCAACATTTTGAATTTTGGAAGATGAAGCACCTCTTCCAAGCCTTATTTTAATTCCCTAGTAGTCAATGGTGTGTTGTTATTAGAACTGGAACCGTCTGTTATAAACCTAAAACGGTACTGTTTCTATCATCTATTGTGATTGTTATAGTTATTATATTTAGGTGCCGGAGATAGTGCTGCATTGAAATAGAGTGGCCGGTGATCTGATTTTTTTAATGCATATGTTCTTAAAAAAAAAGTCTAATGAGAAAATTATTTCTGCTATCACCATCTTCTTTAATCTTACTTTCATAGCACATTATTATGCATAAACACCAGCCACAGTTAGTTTATTGCCTTGATAAGTACTGCAGGCTTAATTAAAATAAAGCTGTAAATAAATGCAACCAATGATAACACAATTGTACTGTATTTCCATAGCTTATTTATATGATAAAAACAATTAGCAAAAGACCTAGCCATCCCCTTTAACCTCTTAAATGAATTATTATAGAATTCAGGCACAAACATATGCATCTGAGAATGTATAAAAGCTTTTACATATTATCCCAAGAAAAAATTTGTGCTTCTTACTACTTACTACTGAGAGAGAGAGAGAGAGAGAGAGAGAGAGAGAGAGAGAGATTAAAAACATTTGCTTCTATAACCATCTGCTATTAATATTTATTTTAATACATATACACCACCAATATCCACACCACTTCTTGGTTTTGTCTTCAAACTTAATTAGTCATAGGCTCTTCCCCCCTAGTTTTTGGAATAATGCTACTAAGCACAGACCAACACATACACAATCATAAAATGAATGCTTGTTTTGCCCTTCGTGGTGTCTGGACAATCATAATTCATTCATATGTTGAATCTCATAATTTGTACCTCATTTTTCCATGGTTTAACCTCCCACTTATCTCGAGGTTATATACGTACGTTTCTAAGTTAAGCAAATTAAATCTGACTCTTATGATTTGGTTCCATAGCTTATATGATATGTTAACTTCTCTTTTGTTTAAATTACATGTAATTAATTTTATCTTCCTCCCATCCCCCTCCTGTTTTTTTTTTTCTTTTCTTTATTTCCAAACACCTTTTAAAGGTAAAAGCCATAGTCTTGGGAAAGCGAATCCACCAGTAGGGGGCGCACCAGCCACATCCCTGAAACCGAGGCGCACTGAAAAGCCAGTCTCCAGATCCACGCAACCTTTTCTCTTTCCTAGTCTTCATGTCCGAGATTAGCTTAATTTTACACCTCGAATAAACAGAAGACATTGCTTTATTTTGAAGAGTGGCATATTTATGCGTTTCGAGAAGGCCTGTCTCTTCCTTCCCAGGTTCCCAAGAACCAAAAGAAAACAAACCATAACTTAAGAGGAAAAGGAGCACTACGGGAGGCGGGTGGGAGTAGGGGTTGATTGGAAATAATAATTTATTAGGACAAGTCTACTGCAGAATTCTGTTTCTCAACTTTTCTGAGCGAGCATACTTATCTTGAGTCTAACAAGAGCAGAAAAGCTTGGGAGGGCAGAGATTGAAGACGTTAGACTGGGGGTAATGACGGTTTATGGGAAGGTTAGTGAGGAACAAAACAATGCAAAGTTTTGTAAAGATAATAAATGGAACGTGGCCGACAGATACTATTCAGTACATTTTCTTAGGGTGCGTAAGGGGGGATCAGAGGACGAGGGGGCGGAGAGGGTGTTACAGAAGAAAGAAAATGAGTAACCCCGATGGTTTAAGCCCTTTATAAAAAAGAAATGGCATCGGGGATTTCACCCCCCCCCCCTTTGTAGTCAAGTGCATTTTAGCCACAAAGATCCCAACAAGAGAGTGGAAGGAAACTTAGACGGGGCTTTGTTTGACTCCGTGTAGCGACAACAAGAGAAACAAAACTACCTATTTGTAACGGACGTGCTGCCATTGCTCTCCGCATTGAGCGCCTACCTATTGAAATCTTTACGTCCGGACAATGGGAGAGCGGCTAAAATTACCCTCTTGGGTCCTGGGCGGGCAGGATTTCTGAGCCCCAACCCCCGCCCTCATCCCATCCGATTCCAGCCCTGGCCTGGCTGGGCTCCCCCTTTTCCTAGTCCTGGCCGCCCGCTTCCTGCCCGCACTGCCTGCACCTGTGCCTGGCGAGCACCACCCAGCCTCCCAGACCTAGACCCCCCTCAGAGCTCAGCCTGCAGACGCGGGCGGACCGTCGGGGCAAGGCAATCACTTGGGGTGGGAATGCCAGGGCTGGTTCTGCCCGAGTCCTGGAAACTGCGTGGGAGGGAGTTTGTGTGTGCGGCCCAAATGCCACCTCCGTGGAGCCGTGGCACGCCAGGAAGTGAGCTAACGCTTCCCATAGCCTGCACTTCTGAGCGTCCTTCGGCTGAGCTCTTTCATCCCCAGCCTCCTTTTGAAACCGGCACAACTAAAATCCTTCTTTGGGGGCGGCTCAGCAGGAGGATGGGGAGAGAGAATGAGCATCCCCTTTGCACCGACTGAATGGAGCGCGGCTGTGGGAGATGCGGTTGGGGGAAGCTGACAAGCTGTGGTTTCCTGCGCCCGAGCTGAGCTGAGCTGAGCAGAGCAGAGCAGAGCAGGGCTGAGCTGAGCTGAGCTGAGCTGAGCTGAGCTGGGCTGGGCTGGGCAGGGCAGGGCAGAGCGTGGTCGCGGCAGCTCACCCAGGGCCTGCCCAGCCTCAGCTCTGCACTCGGCCTCCTTGTCCGAGCAGGATGGATTTTTAAAACAGAGCAAATGGCGTGGAAGCTAGGAGGGTTTTGAGGATAGAGCTTCCCGCCTCCTAACTTCTGGTCGGGACAGTGTGAGGAGGGGGTGAGCGAGTGCGGACAACTGTGGAGAAAAGGGGGCCCAGGGGAGAGCGAGGCTCGGGAGAAGCGCTGGAGGGGCTGGAGTTGGGGGGAGCGCGCGGAGGAGCGGGAGAACAATAACGCCAACTCCGGCGCTGCCTGTTTCCTGAAACACTAGTAGGACAGTCGCCCTGAACCACCCACTCTGCCCTGCCCCACCCCCACACCTTAGCGGCCCCGTCCCCATTTCAGCAGCCCGCACCAAAAAGTAAATCGGCATTAAGTTTAAAGGAAATCATCTCAGTCTTGGTGCTGTTTACCCACTTCCTTCGAAAAGGCGTGTGGTGTGACCTGTTGCTGCGAGAGGGGATACAAAGGTTTCTCAGTGGCTGCCAGGCTGGCTGTGGGAGCCGCCTCCCCCTCCCTCCATCGCCTCCCTCCTCCTCCTCCTCCTCCCTCCTCCCCCCGCTGGCTCAATTACATTAACCTTTGCTTGTTCTTACAGGCCAAGTCAATCCACAGCAACCCTGTGCTCGGCCCCCCCCCCTTTCATGCAAAACCCGGCGGCGAGGCCGCGCTCGAGTGGAGGAGCCGCCGCACGCTGATTGGTCGCTGGAAACCCATTTATTCCCTGACAGCCCCCATCACATGGATGGTTGTCTATTAACTTGTTCAAAAAAGTATCAGGAGTTGTCAAGGCAGAGAAGAGTGTTTGCAAAAGGGGGAAAGTAGTTTGCTGCCTCTTTAAGACTGGGACTGAGAGAAAGAAGAGGAGAGAGAAAGAAAGGGAGAGAAGTTTGAGCCCCAGGCTTAAGCCTTTCCAAAAAATAATAATAACAACCATCGGCGGCGGCAGAATCGGCCAGAAGAGGAGGGAAGCGCTTTTTTTGATCCTGATTCCAGTTTGCCTCTCTCTCTTTTCTTCCCCCAAATTATTCTTCGCCTGATTTTCCTTACGGAGCTCTGCGCTCC